AAGATTGGAAATCTGGATAAGAATGTAGTTTTGAATTTTGGCTCTGCCATTTATTAGTCACAAGGTTTTAGAAAAATCATCATAACATCTTTATCTCAAATTCATCATTTGTAAAATGGGAATATATAGGCTTGTGTGTATGAAGTGTGAGGTAATGTAAAATATATGTTTCTGGAGTTTCTTGATATTTATAGTAGTATATAATCTGTAATCTAATTTTTATTATTTAATCTGACCTCACCTCATTTTTTGGGATTCTGTTTGGTTTTATCATTTTGTATTCAGGTACTGTCTTTCCAACAAATTCAAATTCAGTAAACATTTTTTGAGCATCTACTATATTCCAGACACTATTGAAGTGTCAGAGGTGAAAAGATGAATGAAATATCATCCTTTTCCCCCAGGGAATGGATTACAGTGTACTGGAGGAGGCATACAAATAAATAATGAATCATAAGTGCCATAGTAGAGGAAAAGTAAAGGTGCTGTGAGGAAAAAAGGAGGATTCTGCCTGAGTCATGCATAGAAGAAAGATTATTTTGAGCTGTGTCCTAAAATGTTTCAGTTCAAAGACAAGGTGAAGAAGGCTGCTTTAGGGTAAGGGGACCATCAGCATGAGCAAAGGATGTGAATGTGCAGGGTATGTTTAGTAGACTTGGAGATTATAATATCTCTGGACAATGACTGGGGTTTTTAAAAGTCTGTTATTATTGTTATTATTTTGTATTCCCTAGCACCTGCACAGAGCTGGGCATATCAAATGAACAAATATTTTACTCAATTAAATGTTATTGGCAGTGTTCAGTACAAAATTTTTATCTATTGTTTTCCTTTATTATAATTCCTATGAACAAGAATTATATAATGTTTGATAGTGCTTTTGATTATTCTTAGTTCTTGAAGTCTTTGAATATTGAGTTGTAAACATTCTTTGAAACATGTTTGTGTTTCAATTTATAATTCTATAAATTATAATGGTAGATATAACCTTGATAGTACATATTATATGATCAACACTTTCCAAGTGTTGATCTTTACATGTATTACTTTACATGTATTAATTCATTAAATTATTATATCTAATGTGGTAAGTGTTTTTTCCCATTTTACAGATGAGAAACCTGAGATACAGAGGATTTAAGTGACTTATTTGAGGTCACATAGTAAGTGAAGGAGCTAGGTTTTGAATCCAGGCAGTGTGACCCCACGTTTTACATTTTTAACCTCTATGCTATATATATAGTGCCTCTCAAGAGTTAAATTTTGTTTTTCTGCCTCTTTAAAAAAGAATTATTAAAAACTCACATCTTTTAATTTTATCCATGTATCACTAATTTTTCTTACACATTTTTAAAGTTCAAATGTATTTATTAGAAACATGCTTTCTTACGTAATTCCTTAGAGGTAAATATTAATGTTGAAAGATTAACATTTTAATATTGTGTAAATGTGGGTCTATGTATTTTGAGACAGTAAGTAGCCTCATTTGCAGTTTTCATAAATCTGTTTTGCAGTTTGTTTGTTTTGCACCTTTAGCTACCTTGGCTCTGTTAGTGGGGGAAAAAACCCAAACTTTGTAAAATAATTTAAAGAGGTTTATTCTGAGCCAAATGTGTGTGACCAGCCTGGAGCACATGGCCTCAAGAGATTCTGAGAAAATGTATGCACAGTAGCTGGATTACAGTTTGGTTTATACATTCATGGAAATAGGAATTACACAAAGACCTATAAGACCCTAAGTCAGTATGTGGAGGGATGTCTCAAAGGTTGGAGGTGGGTTTTACAGGTTATAGGTAAGTTTAAAGATTCTTTGATTTGTAATTGATTAAAAAATGAAGCTTTGTCTAAAGTCTTGGAATGTTTTACCTAAGATGTCTGTTAATCAGAGAGCAGCCCCACTGGACATTTAGGACATTTACAGAAACTCAAGTGATAAGTAAATTGGTGGTCTGCAGGTGTGGTCTACGCTTTGCCTTGTATAGCTTTAGGCCTGTTAATGATTTAGTATATCTTCTCCTTACAAAGAAAATCTCCAATAAGGGAGGGGGGCATGATGAGGCATGTCTGACCTCTCTTCTCATGGCCAGCAACTCATCTTTAGGGTTTTCTGGGGTTCCCTTGGCCAAGAGGGGGTCCATTCAGTCGGCTAGGGGGCTTAAGATTTTATTTTTGTTAACATCTCAGTTCTTCCTTTGAGGTCTTATAGGAAATATATATATAAGAAACAGTGTTATGGGAAATAAGGTATCATTTTATCTTTCACTAGTTTTTATACTAGTATCCTTCTGTAGAACTTTGATAAACTTCTGCTGGAACATAAGACTTTAAAACCGAAGCCTGTATTGGAGTCTTGGGGTGTTCTCCCTTCCCCTAAGTCTATATTTGTATCACTTTTGGGAAGGGACTCTCAGAAACAAAGAAGAGAGAGCATTGGCCATTTCTTTTTACTGTTCCTTAACACATGGAAGGGAGAAGCAGAAGAGAATGCCACAAAAAGAGCAGGATGGCCAAATGTTCTCATCTGGCCGCAGAGGGAAGAGAAGGGAGCCATACTCACTCACATGCATGATGTTTTGGTTTATGATATCCCTGCCTATTAATAAACACAGCTCAAGTGGTGTCCTGGAATCTTACCAATCAGATTATTATTCCTTCTTGAGAGAAGGGCAGTTCTTAGAGAGAGGGAGAGCCTGTATAGATGCTTTTCCTTAGGTGGCCATACGCATTTTAATTTTGAATTGTCTTGGATATTTTCTACCTGCTTCTTCTGAGAAGAAAATCATACAGTGTGACAATATTGATAATGACTTTTCAACTTTACATTTATAATTTTCTTAAAGTCTCTTAGTGAGAGAGCTCTTTGCCTTAAGATACTTCTCTTCATGAGCAAAAGGGGGATCTCAGTTGTAGTGTTGATTAATTGGGTGTATCATGGTTATAGAAACTACTGCTTACCACTTTTATATCAGATTCAATTTTAAATTTACTTGTCATAACCCAGATTTCATTAATTCCTGTCACTAGTAAATTTATTTTATAAAGCGCAAACTATTACTTTAATTGGAAAGTAGTGAAGTCTTTCCTATTTTCAGTGAGTTAATTTTGTGTGATTTGTAATCTTGGGGATTTTCTGCTGAATGCAGAAACTCAATTATTGTTTGAATTTTAAGGCTATCAGTGTATATGAAGTTTACATGGTTGTGTTATTTGCTTAAAATAGTTACTTTTATGGATATATATATATATATATTTTTTTTTTGAGACAGAGTCTCACTTTGTTGTCCAGGCTAGAGTGAGTGCCATGGCGTCAGCCTAGCTCACAGCAACCTCAAACTCCTGGGCTCGAGTGATCCTTCTGCCTCAGCCTCCCAAGTAGCTGGGACTACAGGCATGCGCCACCATGCCCGGCTAATTTTTTAAATATATATCAGTTGGCCAATTAATTTCTTTCTATTTATAGTAGAGACGGGGTCTCGCTCTTGCTCAGGCTGGTTTTGAACTCCTGACCTTGAGCAATCCGCCCGCCTCGGCCTCCCAAGAGCTAGGATTACAGGCGTGAGCCACAGCGCCCGGCCTAGATATATTTTAATAGAAGTTAAAACACTGGTGGAATGCTGGAAAGAGCACTGGACTCAGTTTAAGTACTAGAGTTCTTATCCTGATTTGACTGTTGCCTCGCACTTTTATGATGGACAGATGTTTTCCACCCTCTGTTTATTTACCTATGGTTGACATTGTATCCAGTTGGCCTTTTTCTCTCTTTGACTAATTAATTTATGGCAGTCTTAATGTACTTGACATTGGTCAGTAAAAGAGAAAAGAAATGAAACAAGCTTCTTGAATAATTCAGTATTAATAATTGATATTTGACTAAATTCATATGATTATTGTGATTAGAATGTTTTGACAGGATACATTATGATAAATTATGAATTAGCTGCCTATGAAAGGTGGGAAATATTATTTGGATAAATATAGTTACTTAGAATCTGGGTGCCACCTTTTGAGTTACTCTAAGTGTGTATTTATTATCAACAGTATTTATTTCAGCATTTACTCATGTGGTATATTGTGGTGTTATTTAATCATAGAATATTAGCACTGGAAGACACTTGGATATTACAGAGGTCAGAAGTCATGTCCTTCTGTCATACCCAAAATATTTTAGCTTGCAGATTTAGTCCTATATTTGTGATATAGGTAATATTCTAAGAGTTCAGAGTAGAAGCAGCATTTACTGTTTCATTAGGGTAGAGGACTGTGAGCTTTGTTTGCAAAGTGAGTAGGATTTGAATAGATGAGAGAAGAGCATACTAGCTAAGGGAATGTTAGACACAGAGCAAGATGTTTAGGGGGCCACTTTTGCTAGGGAGTTTATAAAAAGAAGTATAGTAAATAAGACTGGGAATATTGGTGGAATCAAATTGTACACAGGATGAAATTTAGACTGGGAATATTGGTGGAATCAAATTGTACACAGGATGAAATTTAGAGTGGAGAATAGGTTTATACAAAGATTTTTCCAAGATGAAAGATTATTTTTACAGGAAGAGAATTAACTATCTGGGGTAAGAGAGGTTGAATATATTGGGTGGGCCAGGGGTAGTTGTGAGAATAATCCTTTGGAGTTGGGCTGTGAGAGTTCATAGGGCCTAGGTGAGGGGTTCTCTTTAGATAAATGATAGACTCTTCTGGGCTTGAAAGGATGATGCAAGTGTAGTTTCATTTTGATTGTGGTTCTTTACTTGACTCTGTAACGAACATTACTTGCATATGTAATTTTGAATTGGTTACTTCTGTGATCCCTTTAAATAAATAATAGCTCTGCATTTAGAATTTGTTGTACTGATTTTTTTGCATTCATTCTAAAGAATGCCGATCATAAGGTTTTTTGAAGTGAATAATCTTTATGACATTCATTTTTTTCTATAATCTTTGTTTTGTGGCAGGTTCATTCATATTTACAAGGATCTGACTAATGCTCTTCATTTTATTTTCAGTTTGGCTTTGGTTGAAAAAAGAATTTAGCCTGTATGTACTGTTTTAACCACTGGAAGAATGACAGATGACAAAGACGTGCTTCGAGATGTGTGGTTTGGACGAATTCCAACTTGCTTCACTCTGTATCAGGATGAGATAACTGAAAGGGAAGCAGAACCATACTATGTAAGTATATTGATGGATATTTAAATTTGTCCATGTTTGTAAATAAAGCTGTAAGAACCTGGAGGCTGTTATCCAACATTTTATATACAACTGATCTATGCTTATTTTGACAAAAAAGAAAACACAGATAAGCAAAAAGAAGGAAATAAGGATCACTTCTAATCCTGCCACCCAGGGGACAAAACCACTGTTGATATGTTGACTTTGTTTCTCTTATACATATTTGCATATGTAGTATATCATATGGAATCATAAACTATGTGCTATTTTTTAATAGGAAGCTATTTTGAAAATAATAGGTTCAGATTGTATTCTTTTGTATTTTAGGTGATTCTATGCAACTATGAACAAAATATTTTTATAGCTCAATGAATATATGAACATACACACATACATTCATATGTGTTCACTGAGCTAATATACATCTATTTAATAATATATATTATAAATATTATAGTTTATTTTTAGAAGAATTTCATTTGTTAGAGTTATTTTTCCTGTTCTCCTTCTAGTATGGGTTAGGATACCATTTATGTTGTTTCCAACATAGACTTGTAGGAAACAAAAATGAGTAGGATACTAAAAATGAGTATCAAATATCTTCTGATTTTAATGTGCTTTTCTTCCTTTTCTAAATACATGTGTAATCTGAGTTTACCCATCTGTCTAATGATAGTATTCTTCCTGTTTATTGAATAGCCCCTGATAGGCAAATACATTCTCAGTTGTTCTAGTTTTTTCTTTTTGTGTCTCAGGTACACATACTATTGTTTGCCTGGAGAGGATGTGGAAAAGTGGAAATGTATTTGTGATGATGGACTGTTTCTTCTGTTTCACTTCAATAAAATTTGTCCTTTGCTTTCTCCCATATCTGTCTGAGAGGCAGCACTCCTTCTCAGCCTGCTCCAGCTATGATAAGTCAGAGTGCTGGCAGAAGCTACTTAAGGAGCCTATTCACTCACTTTTTGGGTATAGGAACTGTTTTTTTTCTTCTGTGCATCCTCAGCATCTGTTGTAGGCTGTGCAAGTAGCAGATACTCAGTGCATGAAAGCCTACTCAGGCTTATGTTGGGATTTTGTTGAAATTATCTCTTTGGATTTTCTTACCAGAAATGATAATTTTAGAGAAGTTGAGCAGTCTTGTTACTAGAACTCAGGCTTATATGCATTTGAGTAATTTTAACTTTGCAAATCTGTATAGTTTTCTCTCTTTAGGAAAACTTCCACAGTTAAAAACAAAGTGTGATCATGGTTTATTTTTAGAAGAATTTCATTTGTTAGAGGTATTTTTCCTGTTCTCCTTCTGTTGAATGGGTTAGGATACCATTTATGTTGTTTCCAAACAAGTTTTTGCTGTTTAAATTAAAACTGTTAAGTTTGGCTGCCTTCTAATAGTATCTAAACAAAAGAATATTTGTGTATAGTTGGTCAAATTTGCAACAACTGAGAAATAAATAATGTAAGTCTGTTTATTTTTAAATCAGACTAATTTTTGACATAGTTCCTACAGTTAAAGAGTACAGTATTTTTCTTCTTTATGTGTGAATCTGTTTAAATATAAAAAGACTATTGTGAGAACTAGAATGTAAGTTGTTTTCTAGTCTATTTCTAATAAAATTGAAAATGGCAAAAGTATTGGGGTAACTGTAGGAGAAAGAGAATTGTTTTGTCTTATGGGTAATTGTTTCTTTCTTGAATTTTCCTAATTCTTTACCCAAAGAAACTCTTACATAGCCATGATTTGTGATTTTGAAGACTATTTGGTGAGAGGCATATAATAAATATTAAAACCAGAGTTTCAAACCATGTAGCAAAATCCAAATTTTGTTCTTTAAATACTTATATACTTAAGTATAAGTCAGTACATACAGGAAGAAAGTTTACAAAAGGATTAGTGATGACTATTCTGGTTAGCATTTTAGTGTCAGTATAGTTGTAGTTCAGATTTGCCTCAGTTGTCAGTTAAGCTTGAAAATATTTTTAATATTAATGTTAAATATATTCCTGTTTATTTTTGCATTTTCATTTGATGCCTCTGTGCATATAAGTCTTCTTTCAGCCTATATCCTATAGGTATGCCATTGAGAATTGTTTTATTTTGCAGGGAATATTAGGAAAGAAATTTGTTAGAAACTAGGTTACCTTTTAGTTTTTGTTTCTGTTACATTCATTTAAACTGTTGCTTTCCATTTAGTTTATTCAGTATAAAAACACACATACTAATTTTTATTCATACTTTGTGACTTGTTACTAGAGAAAATTACAGGGTTAGACATCAGTCTCATTGGACCCTTAACATTACCCAGCAATCCTTTTATGTTTTCTTAGTTGTCCCTGTCTTTTTCCACCTTAACTATTTCTCTTAGCTCTGACCTCATCCTTTGCTCTTAAGAGGTGACCTCACTTCTACTTCACAAAGAAAATGGAAATCATCTGATGGTACCTCCCTTAACTTTCTGCCACCAAATCTGCAAAACCTATCTACATTCACACACATTTACTTCTTCTCTCCTGTTACAATGGAAGAAGTGTTTGTCCTCCTAAGCAAGGCCCAATCCTCCTGCAGGTAGGATCCTGCTCTGGATCCTATGTCCTGCATTCTCAAGAAGCTGGTAGTATTTAATTCTCCCACATCTACCTCTGCCTTCTGTATTTATTTTACTTTCAACTTCTTATCTACAGGCTCCTTCATAGTAGGTTATTAAGTATGGAATGTCCGATTTCCTTAAGTACTAAGTTTGACAGTTGATATCTCTGACATTTTACTTTGACACTTCTTGTTTTTTTATTATTGTGAAAGTACATCCTCATTCTTTCAAATGCATGTTTTAGCTTGTGATTATTTTTAAATTTTAGAGTAAATTTTTTGAAACCATGGATAAGTCAACAATTCATGTCATTTTTGAATATGAGGTCCATTGTGGAACCAATGCAGCATTGATATCCCTGAAATACCAGCTAAGGATGTGGGTAATGAATGCATAGTACGTTGATGATTTGAGAAGTTCCGTTCTGGTGATTTTAATCTTGAAAATGAGCCACATGCATGACTGGAGACCAAGGTGGATAATGATGAGCTGAAAGCTATAGTGGAAACGAATCCATCTCAACCTATGTGTGAATTAGCAGAAAGCTTTGACATTACTATTCCAACAATACTGGACCATTTGAAACAAATGGGCAAGGTAAAGAAGCTGGATAAATGGATTCCACATGAATTAAACGAGTGTCAGAAGAGAAATCATCTGGAAGCTTGCCTTTCTTTGCTGTCATGAAATAAAGATGAACCATTTCTATACCATATTGTTACATGTGATGAAAAATGGACTCTTTTTGATAATTGCAAGTGTTTGGCACAATAGTTGAAGAAAGATGAAGTCTGAAACACAGTCCCAAGTTGAATAGTCATCAAAAAAAGCTAATGGTGTCTGGTGATCCAGAGCTGGTATTATCTACTACAGCTTCGTGAAACCTGGTCAGTCAATTATAGTAGATGTCTACTGCAATCAGTTGAATGAAATTATGATGCTTACAATTAAGCAGCTGATTATTAGTCAGTAGAGACAGGCCAATCCTCTTGCAAGACCACATGTTGCTAAAAATAATGCTGCTCAAACTACAGAAGCTGTACTTGGAAACTCTCTGTCGTCCACTGTATTCACCAGACCTTACACCAACTGACTACCACTTCTTCCAGGCTTTGGACTATTTCTTGCAAGGAAAAATATTCAATTCTCAACAAGCTGTGGAAAACACCTTTTGCAATTTCATCACCACTTGCTCTCCAGGCTTTTGTGCTTCTGACATAAGCAAGCTACCATTAAGATGGCAAAACTGTATCAATGGTTTAGGCACATATGTTGATTAACTGTACTGCTTGTTTGAGATATAACATACTAAATGATAAACTAAATTTTTGACTCAAAATTGGACATTTCATATTTAATGACCTAATAGTATTTATATTGTCAAAAACCCTTTCTGTCCTAAAACAGCAATTCTCTGTTGACCCCATATCCTTCTCAACTTCTTGCTTTTCCTTCACAACCAGACTTCTTAAAAGTTCTTTATTCGTTGTCTCCCTGCAACCTCCTACTAATTAGTTCTTTGTAATCACATTTTCATAGTATTCCAATGCAAGTATTCTTGCCAAAGTCACTTACGATGTCTATTTTTTTTTTTTTTTTGCCAAACTTAGAGTCTGTTTTTGAATTTTCATTTGCTTGATCTTTCAGCAGTATTTGATATTGTTGGCAGTTTTCTCCTTCCTGTGGCACTGTCTTGTCTTGCTCTACGGTGCCCCATATTCTTGGTTTTGCTTCTGCCTCTCTGTTTTCTTTTTGTTTTTTTGTGGTTGTCTTTGCCAGCTCTCTCTCCTTTGCTTATTCTTTCTTTAATGCTGACATTTCTTAGGGCTTTGACTTCTTTTCTAACTTCACTTTTTTCCCCCCTGAAGTTCTCATCCATTTTTATGTCTTTGTCAAGTATATTTTGACAGCTCCCAGTATTTTTCTCCTGGACTCCAGATCCGTTTGTCTGCTGGGAATCCTCACGTAGATATCTTGAAGGAACTCAAACTATGTGTTTGAAACTGTACTTTCCCCACAGAAAACCTGGTCATCTGCTATTATTCCCTTTCTGTTTTGGCAAATAGACTTATCATTCAGATAATTAATCTTATCTGAAACCTGGGGCTCATCCTTTGATGCTTCCTTCACCTGTATCTGTGATTCTTGGTCAGTAACTTAGTCCAGCTGATTTTATATCTCAATATTTCTCAGACTTACCTGATTGCCTTTATCTCCACTGCTACTCCAGACCATCATTTAAAAACTGATCAATTGCATAGCAGTAACCAATTTCCCTGCTTTCAGTTTTCCCCTCTCTCTATTTTCTAGTTTATAGTTGGAGTGATCTTTTCAAAACACGTATCTGATATGGTCACTTGATTGTCTAAAATCTATAATGAATATTCATCATCTTTAGGATCTTTAGTGTAGTTTACAAGGTTCTCCATGATGTAGCCCTTTGCTTCCTCAGTACTATTTTGTCCTCTTCCACATTCCTGTCGTATTCAACTTCTTATAGTTTCCTCAAATGTGCTAATCTTTGCCTCTCTGTATTCACTACATGCCTTTTGTTTTGCAGTGTTCTCTGTCTGAAATAGGTAGAAATATCTCCCACACCTACACATACCCAAACATCCACATCCACCCATCTTTTGTTCACTCCTGTTTGTCTTGTAACACTTGCCTGAAAATATACGTCCTATCAAGGCTCCACTGAGCCGGTAGATTAGGTTACATTCCTTTGTTACTTGCTCTCATAACATTCCTTACTTCTTGCATTTGTCACATTTGTACTTTGTGTGTGTGTGTGTGTGTCTTTGTTCCTGTATAAGCTGTATGCTCTATGAGGGGAAGGACTCTTCTGGTTCATTCAGCACTGTATCCTCATTGCCTAGTATGCTGCCTTACATATTGGAGTAGAACAGAATTTTAGTACATTTTGTCTTAGATAAGTAATTCTCTAGTTTTATTATTGAAAATTGTTGGACAGAATAGGATATGGTATGAAAAAATAAAACTTATGGGCACCTCTTTCAGAAACATAAGTATTCCATGTAACTGTATAAAACATGTATTCCTTATAAGCTATATAGATAAAAAATCAATTATTTGTGTCATACTCACTGAATACTTTATGCCAGTGCTAAATGAGGAATAAGAATGATAGACTCCATCATAGCTGACAGTATCCCCAAATGGAGTTAATCCTATTCATATTGAAAGACATTGAAGACATTATGCTAAGTGAAATAAGCCAGACACAAAAACACAAATATTTTATGGTTCCACTTACACGAGGTACCTAAAATAGCCAAATTCATAGAGATAGAAAGTAAAATGGTGGCTAACCAGGAGCTGGGGGAAGGGGGCATTGGGGAGTTACTGTTTAATGAGTAGAATTTCCATTTGGGATGATGAAAAAGTTCTGGAGATGGATAGTGAATATACTTAGTGTTATTGAACACTTAGAAATGGTTAAAATGGTAAATTTTATGCTAAGTATATTTTATGACATTTTGAAAAAAAGAACTTAAATCAGTGAGTAATATAGTTTGGAGGTAAAAGGTAGGATGTTGTCTTTTCACTGTTATTTCCTTTTCATTTTTACCTGCTTACATATTTCCTAGATAAATTTTATCTATACATACTCTAGAATAGTCATTATTAAATCTTAGAGTTATTTCTTAGTGTTACTGTGGATATTTTTATTAGTTGTAGATTACTTAGGCCAATGTGAAACAAGGTTACAACTACATTTCAGTGTGGATTCTGCCTTAAGAATGGGTATTCTTTTTTAATTTTAGATTTTGGCTCTTTGCCCATTTAACCTTTGGCATCTTTGATTCATTGAGTAAATATTTATTGTGTGCTTTCTATAAAGCGGGCACTATTTTGGGCAGTGGGAATGTAGCATTGTACAAAATAGACAAAAATTCCTGTCTTAATGAAGGTTACATTCTAAGGTTCTTACTTAAAGAACTGCAAAGAAGTTTTTATTTCACAAAAATCATTTGTAAATTCTTTAACAACTTTGAAGCCTAGGTGTGCTCTCCCAAATCAGGAGCTGATATCCATACTCATTAGTCATGGTGTGTCTTCCTTCTTAACATCTCCACAGGTTATTATTATTCTCTACAGAATAGAGTACTTTATAATGCCTGATAGTAATTTTAAATTAAAGTTCTGGATTTATTAATATAGACTTTATTAGACTAATAGATTATACTCATTTTTTAAAACTTACCATCCTGTTTTGATTTCCTAGAGACTTTTTTGTCATATCTGTATTCTGTCATTTCTGAAAAACCCCAGTTAATCTATTCTCTGCCATTTATTTAATAGTGTATGATTTTGGCAGGTTATTTAAGTAAAACAGGTGATAATACTTCCTGAAAAAAATCTAATGCTTTTCGGTGCTTTTCCTTATTTATAGTAAGCATTAGTTCCTTTTCCTTTTTTCACTAATTACAGTTATTTCTTTATAAAAGAAGAGCTTACATTTTGTTGAATCCATAGTGCTATCCACAGCTCATTCATTTAGTAACTTCTGTTCCACACTGGAGCATGCCAACTACGTCCTTCCCATACCCCTGCACCCTGTAGCCCCTAGAACCTCTGTCATGTTCTCCTACATAGTTGGGGCCTGTTATGTTAGACATCTGTAGTTAAACATCAGTTCCTTCAACCAGAATGTTTCTCTTTGTATATGTATTTTCCAGCTCAGTTATTCTGCTTGATTTACTGATCAAAAGACATCACCTTAAATAAGCAGCGTGAAAGATGATGCAGTTAAATGCATAAAAGCAGCCAAAAGATAGTAACAAAGCAGTTTTACCAGCAAAAGAAAGCAGAAGCTTAGGAAAGCAAGAAATGGCTAGAGTGTATACTGCAAAGGAGGAAAAACAAGAATTTTTGCCAGTCTTCTCCTTTTATCTACTTGTGGGTTCTTCATGTAAATCATAACCAATTTTCCAAATTGCTTTCCTATATTCTTTGTGGGTATTTTTTCTGGGGAAAAAACACTGACCAGGTCCTTCATGCTCTTTAAGTTGAAGCTTTACCTAGCCCAGCATTCTCTCCCAGTTTCAAAACATGATGAACCAATTTAGAAGTCCTGATTGACAGAGTGTACATTAGGACTGAGTTGAGTTTCTTCTCAGAACAATTATTAACTCAGGTGAATCATTTTAATTTTTAAGTTAAATTTGATAGAACTAATAAGTGTCTTAAATAGTATGACATCGAATTATATCATATTTTTATTTAAAGTCTTACAGAAAGATTGTAGATAGATTTGTGTTAATTATTGTAGGCATTTATGCTGTAAGCTGTGCTTAAAGTAATGACCCCATAGGAAATAACATTTTAACCTTTAGCCTTTGCTTTTGTATAAAAAGCACTTGACTTTGTGTGAGATATCCAAAATAATGCAAAGAATGTGGCTATTTTTCCTTAGAATTCAAAAGCCTACTTAGTATATATTTTTGGAAAAAATAACTAGTAAATAAATATGGTTTTACAAATTTTCATTTCAGTTGCTTTTGCCAAGAGTAAGTTATTTGACGTTGGTAACTGACAAAGTGAAAAAGCACTTTCAGAAGGTTATGAGACAAGAAGACATTAGTGAGATATGGTTTGAATATGAAGGCACACCACTGAAATGGTGAGTGAATTTTTCTGCATTATTAAGCATTAAGTATATGCTAGCTCTAAAAAGGTATAGTGCCCTGAAAATTTGTTTAAAAAGTTCTATAAAAGAAATCACTAGTCTAGCTCATATAATAAGTGAGGATTAAACCATTATTAGAATATTTTATTGGAAATATTTCTCCCTTCTGTTTGGATGCATGGATGACTGGAAGATTCATATATTCTCAGCAATAGATTTTTATATGGTACAATAAGAATATATTTAGTTATGAGCTTTTTTTCCCAGATAGATTTAAAACTCCCTTCTGAATAAATCATCTCTGTGACACTATTCAATTTTATTTCTCTCTCCAAAATGCTTATAACAGATCTTTTTTATATATGATTACCTAAAGTGGCCTTGTTCAAACTGACTGCCATATTTAGTTGACCACTATACCATAAATACATCTTGACTAGAATTGGTTTAGAATATTTAAAATGTATTAATTTCTGTTTTATATGAAAAATAATTTTGATATTATGCATTTTTAAGAAGTGTTGAAAATAAATCCTAAATTTGGGCTTTTCCCTGTACAGGTGATTTTTTTTTTTGTATTTCCTCTGTTTTTGGGAGTGTTGTTCATGGTGCTTGCAAAAATAATTTAATGAAACTGTAGGAATTACAGAGAGAAGAATATTAAAAATTTTAATAATTCAAGGTATGTTGGGATGTTGGTATTGAATTGCTGCCATTTGAATGCAGCTGACTGAAAAAGATACAGACTAAAACAAGATTTAAATGAAATGAAAAATATAAATAGGTTAAAAATGAACTTGCTCTCTGAATCTAGGAATCTTAAAATGAAGAGTTTTTAAAAAGAGACTTAGGAAAAATAAAAGGAAGTGAGTTAGATGTTTAATAAATGCAGCTGATGTGAATCTGAGGACTACTTATTAGCACAGAGCGAACTTTTGGAACTCATTTTGTGCTGATGAGATCCCAAGAGTGAGACGATTTTTCATAGTGGTTTAGAAATATACAAGGTTGTATTTTGTATTGAGTTGTGGGTCAAGTCTATAATCTTTTGAGGGGGTTCTGGGAAGAGGTGACAAAGTTGTCTTGTTATAGCATTCTTTTTAAAATCAAAACAATACTGCACTTTGTTATCATATATCGGACTCCTTATGACTCTTTAATAGTTATAGACCTCAGGCTGCATAGATAATGTCAGGGGCAGGTGTAGGTGGGCAGTGTTAACCACAGGAAGAGAGGAAGGGGGCAAAAATGAGGAGGCCAGTGAGCATGTAGAACCTAATAAGGCAATATTTTCTGTTTCTTTTTATTTCTTAGAAGAATTGGAGGTTTTGGAATGGGAAGGTGGCTTACAAGAAGTGTAAAAGGAGCAATGATCAAGAGAGTAGAAGGAAAGGAAGGAGGAGGAAAGATCATTGGCGAGTAGCAATAGGCTATATCTATGTACTTGACAGTTCTGTCTGTATTATGGTTATTTAAATTGTATTGCTTTATGTCTTAGTTACAGATTGTCGTAAGAATTTGTGTGACTAACAGGACTTTTCTGTTTTGTCATTGTAAAGCAGGGTTTCTCAACAGGGTCACTATTAACATTTTGAATCCAATAGTTCTTTATTATGGGGAGCTACTCTGTGCATTGTAGGATATTTAGTAGCAGCTCTAGCCTCTACCCACAGGTGCTAGCAGCATTCCCTACAGTCTTGATAATAAAAAATGTTGCCAAATGTCCCTGGATAGAGGCAGAACCGCCCCCAGTTGTGAAACTCTAGAAAATTTGGGAATCCTTAATTTAGCTTGTAAAGTAAGTGATTGCTAAGTCATCATTCTATCTGGTGCGGTGGTTATTCTCATGTTTGATATGGCTTATATTTTATAGGTTTGTATTCTAGATATGTCGGTAAATAATGTTTAGATGCATTTCTCTCCGTTACTGCAGAACAATGATTTTGGCTTAAATATACCATGTTCTTACTTTGCCAGTATTTATCCCTTTGGAAAGTCTTTTATTAAAGAGTGAAATTCTTTTCTCTTTTAGAGAGCTCATGAGAGCTTATGTGAAGGTAATTATATTCAAGCATCTTCATTTTAGTTTTGGGGTATTGACTTTTTATTATGTAATATCACTTACATATTATATCATGCTATAAGTTCATTACATCTAATGAACTTTGATGCATGCTTTCCTTTAGTATTCTTAGGTACTCCATGTAAATGAGGAATAACTTCCAGAAGCATAAACGCAATCCAGGGTCTCTGGGCTAAGTCTTGATCTTTTCTTTTTTTGCTTTAACATTAGCAATTTTCTCCTATGTTAAAAAACAAACAAACATTTTCCTAGAAATAGGATATCAGTGGAATAATCTACCTGGTGTTTAAGCAGTGGCCTTTATAGGATGGTATAATCCTATGAATTCCTGTCAGTGTAGGAAAGCTACTACCACTGAAGCTTTATAAGAAGACATAGACTTTTGAGACCACCATACAAGTATCTTAAAAGTAAAGGAGCATTTATTTGAGTAGATAAACGTATATGTTAATGTCTTTCCTATACTTGATCCTTTGGCCTTTTAAATAAATTTAAGCAGGTGAGAAAATCAAACACCAGTGTAGACAATTCAGAAAAGATGGAAGAAAGAGCATAAATTGATATTCCTTCTCCCTTTATGACCTTCTTTCTGGTTCTAATTGAATTACTTAAACTTGTCTTTTCATATAAGGCAACAGTTCTCAAAGGTAAGAAAAAACAAACTGAAATCCTAGACAAATCATGACTTTTATCCTACTCAGATCATAAAATATGACTTTATCTTCCTTTTGGGAGGATGTAGAATAAGAGTATTGGGGCTTTTTTTAAAATAAATAAATGCTTGGTTTTAAAGATTTTTAAGAAATAGTATATATAGTCAAATTAGCAGTAGTAGATAATAGCAGAATGAAATATTCTTAAAGTAGGTTGTTTTCCCCTCTACTGTTAATTCTTTCTTACTATTCTTTGTTCTTCTGCGTGGCTAACAGACTCTGTGTGAGAAGGAAAAAATCCCAAACATATAATTTCCATGGAGTAAAATTCATCTTTTTTGGAGTATGGCTTGATAAGGGTTTTTTGTATATAGTTGTATAGCAACTATCACAGTCAAGATACTAGGATATTTCTTTCTTTTCTCTTTTTTTTTTTTGAAACAGAGTCTCACTCGGTTGCCCTGAATAGAGTGCTGTGGCATCAGCCTGGCTCACAGCAACTTCAAATTCCTGGGCTCAAGTGATCCTCCTGCCTCAGCCTCCTGAGTAGCTGGGACTACCAGTGTGTGCCACCATGCCTGGCTAATTAATTTCTACTTTTAGTAGAGAGGGGATCTCGTTCTTGCTCAGGCTGGTCTCAAACTCCTGCGCTCAAGCAATTCTCCCACCTTGGTCTCCCAGAGTACTAGATTATAGGCATGAGCCACTGTGCCCAGCCAGGATATTTCTGTTACCTGACAAATTGCCTGATGCTCCTTTTTGGTTAGTCCCCTAATCCTATGTAATACTTGGCAATTACTGATCTGATTTCTGTCCTAGTAGTTCTGTTTTTTTAAGAATGCCATATAAATGGAATCATGTAGTGTATAGCCTTTTGTGTCTGACTTCTTTCATCTCCTGTAATGCTTTTGAGACTTATACTTGTTATTGCATGAATTAGTCTTTTCTTTCTTTTTACTGATGAACTAGTATCCCATTGTGTGGTTGTACTACAAATTGTTTATTTGTTCATTAACATGGACATTGGATTATTTCCATTTTAAGGCTATTATCAAAAAAGCTGTAAATACTCACCTACAGGTCTATGCATTTTAAAAGAGAAAAGTTGTGTTCTATGACCTTGCTGAACTCACGTATTAGTCCTAGGAGTTCTTTTTGTAGATCCCTTGGGATTTTCTGTGTAGACAATCATGTTATCTACAAATAGAAATTTTTATTTCCTTCTTTCCAATCTGTAGGCCTTTAATTTCTTTTTCTTGCCTCATTAGAGTGGTTAGAACTTCCAGTACTGTGTTTGAGTAAGAGTGGTGAGAATGGACACCTTGTGATACTCTCAATTTCAATAGGAATTTATTAGTCTTTCACAGGTAAGTATGCTCTTAGCTGCAAGCTTTTTGTAGATACTTTATATGAAGTTAAGGTCATTTTGCCTAGCTTGCTGAGAGTTTTTTTTTTTTTTTAATCATGCATTAGGTGTTAGAGTTTGTCAATTGCTTTTTCTGTTCTGATTATGATTGGTTTTTCTGTTCTAATTATGATTATATTTTCTTCTTTAGCTTGTTGCTATGTGGATTTTTGATGTTGCACCAGTCTTGCATATCTTTAATAAATCATATTTGACCATGGTATATAATTAATTTTATACATTGTTGAATTTGGTTTGCTAATATTTTGTGGAAGATTTTTGTGTCTTAAGTTCATGAGAGATTGCAGTTTTCCATTTTTGTACTATCTTTGTCTGATTTGGTATTAGGGTAATACTGGTCTTATAAAATGAGAAATGTTCTGTCCTCTTGAATTTTTTGGAAGAGATTATGTAAAAATGCTGTTAATTTTTAAATGTTTGATAGATATCTCCAGTGAAACCACCTGGGCCTGGAGATCTCTTTTTTGGGAGGTTTTTAATTACAAATTTAATTTCTTTGATATGCATAGGTCTATTCAGCTATCTATTTCATCTTGGTTAAGTATTGGTAGTTTATGGTTTTTGAGGAATTGGTCTTTTTCGTCTAAGTTATTGGATTTATGAACATAAGGTTGTTTGCAGTATTTCCTTATTATCTTTGAATGCCTGCAGGATCTGTAGTGATAGCCTCTATTTCATTCTTGATATTGGTGATTTGTATCTTCTCCATTTATTTTTGTCAGCTTTTTTTTATAAACCTTTGGTACAAGTTTATTAATTTATTTATTTTTGAAGAATCAGCTTTTTGTTTCATTGATTTTTCTCTATTTTTAATTTTAATTTTATTGATTTC